CAAGGTCAACTAACGTCATCAAACAAAGTTGTACCGAGTTCCAGTTCGGTGAGGAGGAGATGTTTTAAATGTGGCGATACTTCTCATTTCGCCAAGAACTGCCCACGAAACCCCATTAAGTGCTATGGTTGCGGAGGAGAAGGCCATCGAGTGGCCGAATGCAGGAAGAGTAATCCACCCAAGCAAGACAAAGCCAGTATACATGCAGTGACGAAAAGGGGGCATCGGAGTAGCTTGATCTTCAAGGACATAACCTTCAACACACCCAACATGATGGCGCAAACAATTTCAGCGCTGATTGACACCGGCTCCGATCTGTGCTTAATGCGATACGATACTTTACTTATGTTGAGGTTGGACGTTGAGTTAGGTAAAGATAAGCGGCAATTAGTGGGCATAGGTGATAGCGAGCTAGTGACGATGGGTAGTTTCACCACGCACCTGGTCATAGATAGCATACCGTTGGATATTATGTTCCATGTAATTAATGAATGCGACTTAAGCTATTCAGTGGTCATAGGTAACGATGTACTGAAACAGGTTGACCTAGTAGTGACTGAATACGGTGCGGATTTCCAGGAAAAGCGGACTAAGGAAGGGGAGCAGGCGGATGAAGCGGTTGCGGGGACACGGGAATCTAACAAGAGACCCTCGCTTGTCGATGTAGCTGCGAACACACTTGTTTCCGACGAATCACGTATGCACAACGAGCAGATGGTAGGAGCTGTTGAGGCGGGTGCTGATAATAGCACGACGGCGGCCCTTGAACGGCGTAGGCACAACGAGGTGTCGATGGATGCGGTGAAGAAGCACAGTGCGAGCGCTACCGAGCGCGGAGTTGTAGATGCCATTGGTACGGGCAAGCACCAGACGGGCGTCATTAAACGCGGCAGTACAACGGAGCCAACCTACAAAGAGATGGGCTTACGAAGATTTGCAGTCGGCAAAGAGGACGATAAAGCTATCGAGCTTGAAGTCGATTATAATCGAATCGCTGAGCTGGTTGGAGAACTGGGATAATTGTGTCTGCTGGCCAGCGAGGAAGAATCACCACGAGTCGATTTGTCCCATCTGAATAGAATGCAAGCAGGCGAAATAAGCCAGATGATAGAGACGTACAGTCCTGTGAGAAACGCTGATTCGCCGGTAGAAATGAAGATAATTATGAAGGATGAGATTCCAGTCTACGAAAGACCAAGGCGAATGTCGTATGCAGACAAATGTTTGGTAGATGAACAGGTAGCGCTATGGCTAGAGGAAGGAGTCATTAAGCCCAGTACTTCCGAGTACGCATCACCAGTCGTGGTTGTTCCTAAGAAGAATGGCGAGAAAAGACTTTGCTGCGACTACAGACGATTGCAAGGAGCCAAGGTGTTTACAACACTCGATCTAAGCAATGGATTCTTCCATGTGCCTGTAAATGCCGAATCGCGGAAATATACGTCTTTCGTTACCTGGAGCGGACAATACGAGTTCTTGTATGTGCCCTTTGGCATATGCAATTCACCAGCTGTCTTTACGAAGTATATCTTCGCAGTGTTGAGAGACGTGATCAGGGTCGGAATAGTCGTGGCCTACATGGACGATTTGATAATTCCCGCTAAGGACGAGTCCGAAGGCATCCAACGGCTACAGGTGGTGCTGAAGACGGCTACTGCGAATGGGTTGCAGATAAAGTGGAGTAAGTGCCAGTTCCTGCTGAAAAGGGTAGAGTTCCTGGGATATGTCGTCGAGAACGGTTCGATAAAACCATCGGACGATAAGACGAATGCCATTAAGCAGTTCCCTTTACCACGTGACCGGAAGGCAATGCAACGATTCCTCGGACTTACCTCGTACTTTAGGAGATTTGTTGAGGGCTATGCAGTTATCGCCAAGCCATTGTCGGACATATTGCGGCAAGATGTGAGATACGAGCTGAAAGACGAGCAGTTAGCAGCGTTCCAACAATTAAAATCCGCCTTGGTGCATGCACCAGTTCTGATGCTGTATGACACAAAAGCAGTGACTGAGGTACACACGGACGCTTCCAAGTATGGATACGGCGCGGTGATGCTGCAGAAGAACTACGAGGATCAGGAGTTCCACCCGGTTCAGTTTATGAGCCCGAAGACAAAGCCGGCCGAGGAAAATTACCACTTGTATGAGTTGGAAGTCCTAGCCATCGTAGAAGCTCTAAAGAAATGGCGCGTGTATCTGTTGGGTATACAATTCAAAATTATAACCGACTGCAACGAGTTTACCAAGACGATAAAAAAAACGCGATGTGCCTGTCAGAGTGTCCCGCTGGGCGATGTACTTACAAGATTTCGACTATGAAATCGAGCACCGAAAGAGCACCAAGATGAGACATGTGGACGCTTTGAGTAGGGTCTCGTGCCTGTTAATAGAAGACTCGCTGATCCATCGCCTGAAGCAAGCTCAGGAAAGAGACGATTGGGTAAGAGCTGTGCGGAAAATCGTCGAACGAGAGGAGTACGAGGATTTCTTCATGAAGCATGGAATACTGCACAAGGATCCCGTCAAGGAGCTGATCGTCGTCCCATCACTTATGGAGGAAGAGATAGTAAGAGCGGCACATCGCCAAGGACACTTTTCAAGTAAGAAGACGCAGGACGCTGTGGAGAAGTCGTTCTTTATCCCGCAGCTGAAGTCCAAAGCCGAACATGTAGTCAGAAGCTGCATAGAGAAGCTGCAACGAGAGCAAGGCAGGTAAACGTGAAGGGTTCCTGAACCCCATAAACAAGGAAGATCGTCCCTTAAGTACATTCCACCTCGATCACGTTGGTCCAATGGAGACAACTAAAAAGGCGTACAACTACATACTGACGGTTGTGGACGCATTTTCAAAATTTGTCTGGCTATATCCGACGAAGAACACAGTAGCAGAGGCGGTGGTGGACAGGCTTAAGCGGCAAGCCGCGGTATTTGGCAACCCGAGGCGCATCATCACCGATAGAGGTGCAGCCTTCACATCGGCCCTCTTCAAGGAGTATTGCGAGAGCGAATCCGTTCAGCACTTTCTCATCGCTACCGGTGTTCCACGAGGAAATGGCCAGGTCGAGCGGGTACATAAGGTTGTTGTCCCGATGTTATCGAAGCTTTGCTGTGAAAGCCCCAGTAGTTGGTACCGGCACGTGGATCGCGTACAGCAAATAATCAACAACACTCCGCCACGAAGTACGCGAGTAACGCCGTTCAAAATACTAACTGGGCTAGAGATGCGGATACCCGGTGCACCAGACTTGCAAGCCATTTTAGACGACGCTGCGATAGAGGAAGTCGACTCGGAACGTGAAAGAAGCCGCCATCAAGCGCAAGAGAACATAGCTAGGATTCAAGAAGAGAACCGCAGGACCTTCAACTCGCGTCGTAAGGCAGAGGTCGAGTATAACGTCAATGGATTGGTGGCGATTAAGCGCACGCAATATGGTCCTGGTTTGAAGCTTAAACCAAAATACCTCGGACCCTACAAAGTATTGCGTAAACTAGAGCACGGCAGATACGAAGTCTCGAAGGTTGGAGACCATGAGGGGCCTGGGCGAACTACCACAGTTGCAGAATTCATGAAAAGGTGGGACCCTTCATTCGGGTCGAATGACAGCGCAGGATGGCCGAATGTGGGAATCAACGCACGGACTCCTCGCAGCGGAAATGAGTACTGACTCACTGACGCACTAACGTACGGCCGTACTTAAAAACGCAACCCTGACCTACGACAATACTCCACACTGCCAAACGAACCGAAGTACGCGTGAACAGAAACATAAAAGGACAGTCATTAAACTACCGCGACCCAACGCACATCGTACGCTGCAATCTATGTAATTAAACATTTTCTTAAATATTCAATAACTATTTGTACACCCGGCGTTAACCGACTATATATGTAAAACGAGTGTTTTATTTCGAAGTAGTAAGGGCTTTCCTACATATATTTTTTCTATTTCGATCTGGCATCTCTAAACCACATATTTTTTAAAAGTAAATTAGTCAGGATGTGTACTTTTTTCTAAATTGCTAATTGGCATTTTGCACTAAAACCATTTTTTCCGAAAGATGAAGGCGTCTGCAAGTAATGGGTGGATGGACGCGGCCTCGCCTCTAGCGATTTAAAAAGTGTTCGAATTCGTAGCAATCATTTAACTCTGAATGACTTCAAAGCTGCAAAAAATTGTTAAAATTGAATACTTTGTTGGATTAAACATGTTGAAATAAACAATTTCTCGATGTTTTTATTCTATACATTTGGCTTTTTATTCTAGATCATTGCAAAGAGAAATTAAATTCCATCACAGTGTGCCTTTATAACTATCATTTTTGGACCAGAGTACAGAGAGACTCATATTAAATTAATAAATAAAAATTTTAAAATGGGGATTTAATTGGTACAAATATGAAATTCGTCCCGAGTTTTAAAAAATATTCAGCGGGACAATTTTCTCAAAATCGGCACTGTTCCGCCAAAATCGGTACGAATGGTGACCGTACATATAGGTTACTGCCAATATAGAAGTATAACTATGTATTAATGATGCGCATAAAAGACGCAGCAATTTCCATTCGCAAGTTACATACCTAATGATAGTACGAATGGGAATTGCTTTAAATTTCCATTCTTAAAGTTACCTGATGACAGTACGAATGAAAACTGCTTTTGAGTTTCGATTTGACTAATTGGTGATGGAGTGGCAAGGCCACATGTCTTAAACAGCTGTAAAAATTAACGTTGCTTTTTTTGACAGTCCGAATGAAAACTTCTTTTTATCTGCATAAGCAAAAGTAAACAAATATGCGAATAAAGAGTTGAAAAAAAAATTCTATATGAATAAAAAAAAAATTTTACGAATATAATTACAAGGAGGGCACAGTTTTAAATACCACCTAAGAGAGCATATCGACTGCTGAATGGAAGATCGACCTATCTCGGCAGCTGGTTCGAAAACGCCCTACCTCAGAAAACTTTCCAAGAACGCCCTACTTCAGAATCTGGTTGAAGAACTCCATATCTCAGAATTTTGTTCAAAAACGCCATATCTCAACTGAAAATATATAGCAAATACGTTGATATAAAGCGTTTTTGAACCAAATTCTGAGATAGGGCTTTCTTCAACCAGATTCTGAAGTCGGGCGTTCTTTAAACGAATTCTGAAATATGGCGTTATTAAACCAAAATTCTGAGATAGGGCGTTCTTCAGTCAAATTCTGAGACAGGGCGTTCGTGAAAAGTTTTATGAGATAGGGTGTTTTCCCAACGAAGTTCGGCTGGAAAACTTAAGCAAACCCTCGAGATTTCGAGGTCTTGGAAATGTGCTATAAAATACTTGTACCGAAACAGCTATAATATCTGCCCTTACCCTTTGTTTAACATTTTCAATTTATTAATATTACGTAATACTTAATTAAAGTTTTCCTATTTTAGTGCCTGCCCACTTTCAAACCAAAACTAAGCAAATATCAGTTGCAAAAGGAAAGCAGGTGCATGTGCAATGCAACGTCCAAGGCGACAATCCCATCGATATAAAATGGAAAATACAAGCGACGCAACAATATTTGGATGAATCACTCGATTCCAGGTAATTAATTACATCGTCGTTTAAAGTACAAATCCGCGTATCAACAAAATGCAAAACCGCGTATGTGAGGTTGCATAAATTATTTTATAGAGAGTAAAAACACTCGTATTTCAAAATGGTTCTTTTTTTATAAAGCAATCGCATTTCTGGCTAGTATATTTCAAGATGAATGGATAAGGATTGAGCCAAGAGCTTGTGTGAGCAAAACGAATTTTTGACAGCGAATGTCAGTTACGCGGTTTTCCAGAATGACGATACGCGGCTTTGTACTTTAAACGACGATATTCAAATATGTATGTACATATGTATCTCCATTTCGAAACATTAAAGCGGACTTCCAGGCATACATATCAGTACTCGTATGAGTGTGCTTGACACACATATCTATTAGGTATAGAAGTGGAAATGAGTAAAACTTACAGGCTAACCTAATATTCGCGGCTTGCGTTTGGGACCGCACGCCGTCGAATTTGTTTTTTTTTTGTCACCCGAAATTGGCTTGCGTGCGTTTGCATTTGATTTCGTTGAGCGAAACGTCAAATCAAAATGTCACGCAGAACAAAAATTGGAAATTAAATTAGCTTCATACGCACTCCGTTCAATTTCAGTTGGTTCCATAAATGTTGTATATGCAAGAGAAATTTTTGACAGTAAATTGGCGGCGTGCGTGAATATTAGGTTAGCCTTTTACTGTCATCCCTAAATTGTATGAAGCATCCCACAATAACGCGGCCCTAGCGCCAAGCGAATGGAATTTTCATTTTTGACAGGGCATTTCGTGTTGAAGTTGGATGCGGAAGACGGAAAGAATGAGAGAGGACAAGAAAGTGAACGAGGAAACGAGAGGAAATGAGAAAACGTCAAAAATTACGCCGCGTTGATATGAGTATAGTGCGCGCTGGCACTCGTTGGCATATGGAAAATGCAACGCTTGGCTCTCCAATTTAGGGACGGCAGTAGAGCTGCAAAAATATCGATGGCACCAACGATAGAGTATCCATAGGTTTATTTTTGAAGAAACATCGATTGTTTTCGGGCGGTAGTCGATAGTGCCGGTGCACTTATATTTTGAGATCTTTACTTAAATAAATGACGCTGTGAAGAAAAGAAAAGAAGTATATAGAATTTCACGATTAGAGATGCAATATTTATACTTTTATTTTACTTATTTAGGTATATTAAGTAGTTGATATAGGCGGTTCTGCGTATGCAGGAGATTTATCTGCGCAATTAACATACAATGTGCAAGTGTTATTTCGCATACTCTGCACATATTTACTTGTGTACATGAGCAGCATTAACGAATGTGTTGCATGCTTTTGTATTATATGCAGATATGTTTATTTTCAGATAATGGCATGGAAAATATAATTGGCGACAGTGAACTTTTGGGTTAATGAATAAACTGTTGTAATATAAAAACGCTGTCTGCAGTATAAAAATCGCAACAAATGACAACAAAACATTTATTTTTAAGTGTTTTCAGTTTGAAGTTGTTTTATAATAACTCTGTTATTTCGTTGAGTGTTTATGTTCTGTTTGTTTAAGTGTATCTTCTTAAAGGTAAAACTTCTCAAATGAAAGCAAAGATTGAATTCTGCTTTAAAATTGTTATGTATTTCCTTTTTGTTAGTTATACTTGAACATTACATGTGTACATATTGTATATTGTATATTGTATGTATTTTGTTTTGAGTTGAAGTTCGCCTATATATACTATACGATAGTATACGACCAATAGAAAATATCGATAGTATTTTCGAAACTATCGAATGGCGTCACCATCGCTAGTTTTGCAGCTGTAGACAGCAGTTAATGATTTCATGCCTTTCCATTAACATACATACTTACATTATTTATTTTGTCTGACCGAACCGAACTATGTATGTACTTATGTCAAGTTACAAAAAGTTGGCAACGCTTTTTTGATGATGTAGACCAGTGGGGCACACATAAGCCAAAAGGAGGCACTCGGCTTTCACGTACAAGTCGTGTATACGGAGCAGGGATGGGTAAATTCAATATTTGAAGCTTCGAGATTCGATTTCTAATCGCAGTTTAGCTTCAAAATGACGAAATTTTGAAATCGAACTTTGTGGTGGTAAAATTCGGTTAAAATCGAATTTTTCATCTTTATCTATTTGCAAAAAAGCAGCTATCTGCTATCTATTCTTCTTTATGACTAATTTGGCATCACTGTGTGGCATCACATTTGCCTTAGGCCGTGGTTATTACCACCAACTTCGATTGGCAATCACCGTGCAACTGTTGTTGTGTCCAACACGGAGTGAGAGAATTTTCACACTGAGCAGACAGCACGATTTCCTGGATGAACAGAATAGCTAGCAACCAATCTTTCAGGGTAGCAATACGAAAATTTTTCGAAAAGGTATTACGTCGTTTAAAGTACAAAACCGCGTATCAATTAAACGCAAAACCGCGTATGTGAGGTTGCATTAATTACTTTCTAGAGAGTAAAAACACTCATATTTCAAAATGGTTCCCTTTTTTATAAAGCAATGGCATTTCTGGCTAGTATATTTCAGGACGAATGGATAAGGATTGAGCCAAGAGCTTGTGTGAGCAAATCCAATTTTTGGCAGCAAATGTCAGTTACGCGGTTTTGCAGAATGACGATACGCGGTTTTGTACTTCAAACGACGATTAGTATTAATTATTAAAAAATATATTTATAGTATCTATACATATTATAAAATTAAGTGCCCTAAAGCAGACATGGGCACATTATCCCGTAGTGGCTTTTTTGCCCGTACGGGTAAGCGAGCCCATTTCGCGGTCTGGATCAGGGGTAAATCACGGGCAAACATGAAGAAGAACGCAACAACAAACGCATGACGAAGAATTGCTTGTTAGGACCTGGACTAAGCTTAGTTTTTATGCATGAAGTCCAACGACCAATGCACTTTAAAAAATGCGTACTTACGAACAAGTTTCCAAGCGTAACCGCCTAAAACTTGCACTTTCATAAATAATACACATACTTAGAGGTTTGCCATTGCCGGCCAAGGGGCGAGCGCTTTTAAATAGAAACTTTCCCAGTAAAATTAGATCAAATTGGTACGAAGAAAACAAAAAATTTGTAGTAGCGAACTTTTGATGCAGTTTACTTCTATTTGACAAGCAGATATGGATCCACAGTATTGCCCCCAAATTTCATATGGGAACATTCCGCCATCATAGATTTTATGTTTTTTTTTATTTTATTGCGATTTGCAAGCTAAGTTTGCGTTTTTTGTAAAAAAATGGTTCAATACAAACGTGTAGATAATTAATTTTTCTACATTTTTATATATAAGTTTAAAAAAACATGTTTATTGTAAATAATTAGCAAAAACTGCAAAAAATGTTTACACTGCCACGGTTTTCGAAATGTTTCAACAATTTCTGTTGAAAATATGTAGCATATTCAAACATTAAAGTTGTAGAGATTTTCATTCTCCACAACCTTTGTATGAAAATTTATTTGGACGACGCTTAGATGACCACCAACTCCAAAACCCCCGTGGGAAACGTTTCAATCGAATCGGTTTGATTATTCAGCTTTATCATGAGATTCATTTTCACCGAACCGGTTCACTTTTCTCTTTCGTTTTCCATGTATTTACTATGGGCGGATGTCAAATTTTCGGGTGAAACTCAGGATAAGGCAGATTAATTTTTGGTTTTCCATCATATTGGGTCCGCCCTTTTGAATTTTTCCATTCTGATCTCAGATTGCTGCTGTTTCTTTTTTAGTGTTGAATTCTCCAGTGGCACAAAAGTTAGACGCCATGTTAAGTTTTCCAAAAGGCCACACTGTTTTCAATGGAGGGGTCTATACGGTCATTTTAAGACCTTAGGCTTTGTTATCCGTGCTGTAGAATTTTGGCCATCGTACTGTACCGGTTGACGTGGTGTGGAAATGAATTTTACGCCGATTCCCTCACATCGCTATATTTGGCACGTTTTTATGATTTACTTAGTCTATTTATGGATATTTTTAACTAATGCACCACAACTCAACTCTGCACCAGCTTATTGTAACCCGATCACTGCTCGTGTTTTAACGAAATGTGATTGAAGTTGAGCATTTGAAAGCACATTTGCATTTGCATTTGTTTGCCAGCGTTGCCGAATTGACGATTTCGCCTCATTTTGACGTTTTTTATTTAGGTCAATGACGTTTTGACGATTTTTCCCCCGCAATGACGATTATTCCCCTGTAATGACGATTTTTTATTTTAGTTTTTCCACTAAATTACGTATGTATGTATGTAAAAAATTTGTTACAGAAAAACCTAATTCAAAATACAACAATGCATTTATTTAGTTTTGTTCTACATCCGTGCTTTTAGTTATATTAAATTTATTCTAGAATTGTAACCAAATCGTTAATTTTCACTGCTGGCACTGATTTGAAAGAGACAGAAAAGTAGGAGGGAATTTGTTCAGTCAAAATTATCAATCAGTTAATAAATGCTAATGTTAGAGGAAATGCTAAAGTTAAACGAGAAGTGTTACCAATTCGTCAGAATATTTCTTTTTTTCTATGTATGTTACCGCATAACTTTGGAGCACGTTAACCGATTTCTATAATCCTTTTTTTTAAGGAACGATGTCCCAGGTGGTCCCATATTAATTTGGTTTAAATCCGATCATCGGATCACGACGATATTAACGATAATCTTAAATTTTTATATAAGAATTGAAGTCGGTTTTGTTTTTTGCTTAAAAATTACTTGTTTTCTTAAAAATTATTTGTTTATCTGCCATTCGTTGAGGGTGATAGTAAAAAAGTGTCACCACGGGCGTAGCAAGGTAAGTGCATGGCGCTCTTTTATAAACATCAGAAAAACATTAAATTAATTATAAAGCGTAAATTAAAACAGGTCATATCGAGCCCTAACCGCCAAAATAACGTACGCGACATATTTTTCAAAATTTTGTTTTTGATGCAGAAATATTACTAGAGCATCGAGATACATTTCTGCATCAAAAAG